AGCCCATTGCTTCTTTCCTTATTCACCATGGACTCAGACAGCAGATTAGTCCCTCTGTTGAAGCAGCACTATGTATCTGAAAACTTGCATTTCCAATCTATTGTTTTATAAAAGAACCTGGTAATGTATGCAGCTTCCAAGTTTTATACAAGCAACATAGCAAGGTGGAGATGAAAAATGATCGTAGTCATTGCAGACTGTTGACAGTCAGTCAGTTCTAACAGAAACAGAAGTCTTGAAGTCTCAACTAAGTCTTAATCCGTCATGACTTTTGTTAATTGTCACAATACATAAACGAGCTATGACTCAGAAGACACATTAGCTATTGTGGTGAACTGCCAGGTTACAACTGGAAGTGAACCAACCCGATCCATTTATGCAACACTCATTTCTATTTCACTCATGAGTAGATCTGTAAGAAACCCAACACATCAGAATTTCACAGCACAGGTTTTTTTCATCTTGTACTTACTTTGAATGCTATTGTCTAACATTTGCAAATTCCAAAGATACGCACTCTGAAAAGGACTGGACACTGACGTTTGAGGCCCAGCTGCCAGCAGAATCTTCAGCCTTGTCCTACCTTTCTACTATGTGCTTCCAGACAAAACAAAAACCTACTTTCAGAAGTCTGCAAAACATGATTTTACAGCTTGATTATGTACAAATACTTATTTCATCCGTTGCTAAAACACAATCTCAACAAACAGGATTCCTAAATGATCTGTACTTAGAGCTATTTCCAGTCCTGAGGTAACAAAGTCTAGGTATTAACTAAATAATGTAAATAGCACCAATGCTTTATGGAAGACAGGTTCATTATTTGACATAAACACCTAAAGTGAGGCAAAGATACACAAAATCCATCAGTCAACAGGTAAGAACATCCCCATCCCCTCCCTATATGCCTCATTCATTGCAAGATGGAATAATCCATTGTAAGTTGTGGTTTGTTACATGTTTGAAGAGTTACAGCTTGCTGCAGTCTGGTTTATGTCTATAACGTTTAATTCCTCAGGAAAGCAAGGCACTGAATGTCACTGAAGAACTTCTGTAAGCACTTCTATTTTTTTTTCATGTAATCAATGGCAAACTGCAATGACAGAGAATCAAGCCTGCAAAATACAATAAATGGACATGGCTCCATTGTGCGCTACGCTGACTTTATAGTTCATTCTTCTTGTAGTTTTCTACCCTACCAACGGAATTTGACTAATGTCAGTAAAGCCATTTACATGAGCTAAAAAAAAGGCACACGACTCGCTGTGGCAATAGGCAGAATGACATCATGCTGGGCCACAACCACAGTATCACAGCAATTGGCACACTGTGACAGGGATGTCCCCTGGGAGGAAGCTCCTGCCTTGCACCACAGAAAGTGGGGCCTCGAAGTAAGATCAGAGTTCCAGAAGGGTCAACTTTCCCGCTTACTCCTCCAACACTATTAGAAATTTGATGACTTTTCTACTTTCTGCACGTGAAAGGCTGACTTTCAAGGGAACATCGTTTTTTACCCCAAACATTTTCTTAGTGTATTAGAATGCTACAAAACACAAACACCATAACGTTCATGTATAAAAATAGCTGCAAAATGGTTTCTGAAAAAAGGCACAGAGATGCTTTCCAAAGTCTGAGGGAGAAATCCCACAAAAAAAAGAGACTGATGAGCTGAGAACACATTCAAACTCTTTGTTGTATCCTCATCTCCTAACCCCCAACCAAAAATAGTAACCAGAACCAGTACGACCTGAGTAGGGGTTTTCCAATATTTTTGCTGTTGAATAGCCAACACAACAAATGCATCTTTAAAAAGTAGGAGACATTTGTAAGCCATCAAACACATATCAAGAAATTGCCGCCTTTATTGCCTTGTTTTTCTTTTTTTTTTTTTTTTTTTTAAATTCAGTGAATGTTGGGGTAGGGGAAAAGAAAGGTGCTAGTCTGAAAATTTCTAAGTGTGTCATCAGGACAGATTCCCTGCACCTCTGGACCTGACCTAGGAAGCTATCAGTAAAGAGTCAGAAGCAGCTCCTGTCCCACGAGGTTGTTTCTTGATCGCTCTAACAAGACTCCCAACAAGATAACCAATCTGTAGCAACCATGAGAGAGCTAAATGGCCTGACTTTTTATTGCCACATTACTCTTCTGAGGAAGAAAGAATCCTACTCTACAGACATGGAACTGAATAATTCAGAAGGTAAGCAGCTTGCACTAGGTCACACCATGCAAGTAAATTGAACCTGGAAGCCCAAAGCTTATGCCAGCGCTGTAATAACTGAACTATCTTTCTTCTCTGAAGAAGGGGAATCTTCATTCACAAACATTGGCAGGGAAAGACACTAAAAAAAAAAAAAAAAAAAAAGCACATGCACATTCATCTAAAATAAATGATACTACATATTGTCTGGGCAGCCTTACCACCACTGTAAGTGGCTGGTCCTCCTGGAAGTGACATATTCTGCCCACACTGGCTGAGAGAATCACACACGATGATGTCGGAACTCTGGGGAGCAGCAGGAGGAAAAGCTGTACTTTTACAAGAGAAGAAAACGTCAAACAACTGTAGCCCTGCAACAAATAAAAAGCGTCTGAGTGCACAGTAAGAACACCACAGTTCAGTTTCATCACAGATGTCATACTTGGGGAGCAGCAGGAAGCATGAATGAGGTCAACCTAGACGACTACTACTACTACTAGATTACTTGGTTACCAGTAGCTCCATCCAGGGAGTCTACCCTACCAGCAAGAGATGGGGCCAGTGACAGGACTGGTGACAAAGCCACAATATAGGTCTATCCAAAGACAGGGCTACAAGATCACCCTGAACGTTGTCCTTATTTAAAATACAGTCCAGAACTTCCCAGTGGCTTGCTGAGTTTTGATAATCTAATTTGTTGTCTCTAGAAAGGTCGCAGCACTGACATGTTCTGCACTCCTGGGTCCCACACTGATAATCCTACCCCTTCCAAAATGCCTGAGACGTTGTGTCAACATAATCCTGTCTGAAGAGAACTAAGACACCTGGAACTAAAACGCTTTTTCCAACACTGATGACAGGAGGCCAATCGAAGGGCCCACAAATTCCGTATTGGCCCTCATTCAGTTTTGCTTTACCTCTCATTTAAGCCCCCCAAAGACAAACTATGACAAATCAGAAGCCCAAGGGGCTGAAAAGCAGTGGCATGTTCAGATCAAGAAGAGCTGTCTCCCATCCTTCCCTTCCTCTCAAGCTGCTCGCTGTAATGAGGCTTACAGATGGGGGTGTAAAACGCTGCCAGAGCTCCTTCTCCCCACCGCCACCCTGCTCAAAACTATTCCCCAGCATATGTTGTAATCATACACCCAGGAGAGTTGTTAAAACCTTACAGGAAACATCTCACATTTTTTCCTTTACTATTCATGCCATTTTCTATTAGGGACAATAAAGACTTCTAATATTGGATTAAGCTCATTTGCAACAATGAGCTACTATTGCTCCAGGAGCCAGTGGGAGCTCAGACTTGTTGAGGGAACTGGGAATAATTAACTGAATTGCACTGGAAAAAAGGAAAAGACTGAAGGCTGTTTTGACCAAGAGAGATGCAAACTGATGTGATGGTTAAGCCATCATGTCTTGCTGGGAATTATTGTTGGGAGTATCATAAATGCTTAGAGTATTCAGGTTTTTTCAGTAAAACTGCTTTGGCCATGGTCTCCCTTTTTGGTTTTTGCTACTAAAAGACACCTCCCAGAGTCATAATGACAATAACACAGTTTTACTGATTGCTTTCACTCACTGCTCAGTATGCACTAAGTCACTTCCCAAAACTCTTAGGGATGGCAAACCTTAAAAACAAAATCTCTTCTAAGCAGACTGGTTTTTCTTTTCCCCCAAATGATGTATATAATTCATCCCTGTGGTCAAACGCTCTTATTGTGTAATCCAGGGGTCTTCAGCAGGAGTGTAAACAGGAATTGTCTCATTACAGAAGGGACTGGAAGTGCTCAGTGCTCTGAGATCACACGTGTAGATGGGCAGACAGCACGTACACTTTTTAATAGTCTGGGGACCTCTCTTAGGGAGCACTGACTTGGTTTTGATCGTGGACCAAGACTTATTAACTCAAAAGAAACATCTGGCATTGACCCCTTCACAGGCAGAATCCTGAACCTGAGGGACCCTGGAAGTCTACTCTGATATGTTGCTGGAGCTGTCTACACGAGATTAGTTCGGTAGCTATACATAAATGCACGTACTGTGCATGAATAATACTATTTCTGTATCATATATACAGGTATTACATAGATGAGTATTTGCTGTCCTCAAATTACTGCCTTCTAGCCACAAGTTGGCACATGCCATTAGCCTTTTGCCATGCAGCTTCAAAAAAAGATCAAGTTTCCATCATTCCTTTCAGCAAGGAAGATCCCAAGGAACTTGACAATCTATTCATACCTAATACCACCAGAACATAGACACCTTTGGGACAGAGAGCACAGCCAAGTACATAACAGAGTGCAGAACAGCAGAAAAAAAGGGAAACATTTGGCTTGAGACTCCACAGAAAACCTTGCTTTTTTATAGAGAGCGCCAAGGAATGGTTAGCATCCATCCACAGGAGACAGAACGGTGCTTTCTATGGTCACATCCCAAAGACCCACAGAGAAAATTTGAACTTCACAGTTTATTCTGCCTCAGAAGTATGAAGTGGTAAGTTACCTTTCCCAACAAGCCGGACCAGTAGTTCTAATAACTGTGTTCAGACAGACCACAAAGCTGCCCTTTCTGCGGGCATCTCAAGGGAACATCAAGAAATTTTCCATGCCAGAAGTTATATTAAGCAAACCTGTTCAGGTCTCTTGGATACATGCAGCAAAAAGCCGTAGCTTTTTAATAAGTGTTGACTCAAGATTAATGATAGTTCTCTTGACATTTCCTCTATTGGCTACAACGGGGGCCATTTTTTTTCTTCCCATTTGATCTTTTTCACATAACCTCTCTATAGCAATTAGCTCTACTGCTTACATTGAAAGAAACCCTCCACACCCCAAAAACCAGAAGGAAGATATCTAGCGTGATTTAAAAGCCGAAATAAGCAAAACCAGCACCAAGCAATCAGGTCTTTTCAGGACACCAGTGATGAAAAGACCACTGTTGAGGTACTCTGTAAAAATGCAATTTGCAGTCAGCTGTTGCAAGAGACAAACTGTTTCAGTGTTGAAAATTAAGAGTTCTCTTGTATGAAGAGGAAGAAAGGGGAGATCGCATTGTCTTAATCCCATCTCACACCTTCACTGGCTATGAGGATGCTGAAAGCAGGAGGTCAGAAGCCTGACCATTGCTTTCTCCAAACTCAACTCTTCAAAATACTGGATGGGACAGAGAAAGGGGAAAAGAAGTTGATCACTAAATGGAATACTCTGTCTCGTCTCAGGAAGATGCTATGCACTTAAGTTCAGTTTAGATATGAGTAGTTTAACACTTGCCTGCAGAAATACGACTTTTTCTTACACAAGAGAAATGGGGGAAAAAGCCGTTATGAATTACAATGAAAATTCTTCAAGTGTGGGTGCTTTCTTTAATTGTCATGGAATCAGGATGACTAGGAGATTCATGGAGGGCACAAAGAATAGAGGGATATAGGAAACACCAGCAGATTGTCAAGGCTGTTCTCTAAAATGGTCTCATTACCCATCTGTAAAATGAGAATCTTGAATATGAAAAAAGCAAATGGGTTTATTATTATAGCAGAGCCTTCGTATTCCACAAAAGTCATTCTTCCTCTTACGATGGTGGTAGAGCAGAACATTGTCTCAATCTTTTTTACTTATACCCCGCTTCAACTGATTAATAACTTCTGTTAGATTTCGAGCAAACAAAAATGAATTTTTTTTCCTGGAAATTGTCTTTTATGCCTTCATTAATTGTTCCCAAAATCTTGACCACAAAAGGATGCCAGCTCCTCAAGGATGAGCAGAGAATGACAAACCTGGTATCTTCTAGACAGGGCCCATTATATCACAAGGCAGTACATTCTCCACACTGCTGTCCCCCTTCCAGTGTTTGCCTGAGGCGTTCCATAGGCTTTCTGTCAAAGATAATTACGGCTGTCGTAGGAATGAATAGACACAGATGTTCACAGGGCCCACGCTCTGGGGGTGGGGAAGGACAGGTATCGTCCTCAGAAGCAGGAGCACTTTGTCTCTCTCAAAAGAGAGATCTCATACACTATGAAGATGAATTTTCAAACAGAAATAATAGCACGGAGCCAGGCAGCTGAGCCCTCATTCACATTTGGTTAGATAACAACGTTAAATATTCAGCTATTCTCATGCAGAGGTGTCGCCCCACTCGGGCCTGAAAGCACACAGGTACGACACAAAAATGTTATTCGAGTTGCAGCCTTCGCAAAGCTGAGGGAATGTATGTGCTACCTCGGCCAGCCTACTAGAACGTTACTATCAGGTGCAAGTCAAAAGAATCCATTCAAGAGGCCTATTAGCCTTAAAGTAAACAGTTTAATTTGTGAAACTGCTTGTTTCACCAACAACATGGATTGTGGAAACAAAGAAGCCACTGGCTACCAAACGCATGCTTTTCCTGGTGCACATACTGACAGCTCATCCTATCATACATCCCTTTGCACATGCACATTTTATTTTTATAAGCTCTGAGACATTACAGATTACTGGGTTTATCCGAAAATTGTGCTTCTTTGTACGTCATTTATAAACTCAGAGGAAAATTCAGCATCATCCAGACTATGGGTTGTTTTCTTTTTCACCCCTAAAGAAGTGGAAAAATGGCATGTACACAGGCTCACAAGTGGTGGGAAGCTCTCCAGAAAGATGGAGTCTGGAGACTAATCCAAACCTCTTGAGTTTTCAAGCAAATATCAGACCAGAAATCTCACAGGAATGAACTGGCTCTGGAGATTTCTGGCAATTCCTTCTCCTGACCTCACCCAAAGCTGAAAAACAGCCACAAAAGCAAATCTAATATTTTGCACAATATTTTTCAGTATCACAGTCTGTGTAAAGATTCAGAGTAAGCCCTTGCTTCATCTAAACTGCTCTTCTCATCCAAAGGTTGCAAGGACACATATTTAGCCTAATTGTGATGATCACAGAGTTACTCTAATTTTAATACCACATGGAAACTAGAAGTTTGATCCTCTGTATTTTTGCAACGCTTCCTTCAGTAAAGGCCAATTGCTTTTGGCTAGCACAGCAGTCAGTTTCTTCCATTAACCTTTATTCAAGCCAAAACACTTTGGGTGTAAGCGACATTGAGTTCCCGAGACAATGACGGCCAGAGAAATACCTATCATGAGAGTGGAATCCGAGAGCTCTCCCTAAACTCCAGCTGCCTTGTCTCTCCTTGACATCTTTTCAGTCTTTGAATGCTTTCTGCACAAACCATTACACCCTTCAACACTTCTTCCAGGAAAGCGCACACAATTCCAGGAACCCCACGCCTCAGGTGAATAAACAGCAATGACAAAAGCAACTTTCTACTGGCAAGGCAGGACGATGTTGAAAATTTCAGTCTCTATACACAAATGCTGTAAAGGCTACTGTGAAGGCCAATATTTCCCAAGGAAATCAAGTATCAATGCATGGTTTGGACAGAAGATCTTCTGGAAAGAGTAATGAACATGCCTAACCCTGTATACTCAGCAAAATCTGATCTCACAGCCTGAGATCATTTGCTGGCTTCAAGTCACATCTGGGAGTTACTCCTAACACAGCAGGAGGAGAAGTTGTTTCTAGGGAGATCCAAGTTCCACTTCTTAATCTCTCTATAAAACAGGAGCTTTTGCCATTTAGTACTGCAGGTGCCCCCTCCTTTTCTTTTTTTTTTTTTTTTTTAGATGGGGTTTTTTTAAGATGAGGTTTGTGGTGGCCTCTAGCGGAATATGGAACAAATGGTATAAAAAGGAAAAAAGGAGCAAGGCATGTGCAGCCTGCTACAAAGCTGAGCAGGCCTTCATCTATTCATAGCTGAATCCACTGGGAATTTATTTAAAACTAGACATAATTGCTAGTAGAGTCCACAAGAATAATATCCCTTGTTTTGTTTCAGCCTTTCTGCTTCCTCAGTAAAGGAGGTGGATGCAGGTTATAACTGGATTTGGTTTGAGCCCTAAGAGAACAGTTCAGGATCAGTCTGGGATCACAGCAATCCTTCAGGCTCTTCCAGGGCTACAGCTAACCCAGGATTTGGCTTCTGACTTCAAGATACATGGCCTGATCATGAGTGAGTATTTGACTATAATCACAACACCTTCCTCCCCTCCATTTCCTAATGAGCCCTCATGCTCGTAGAAAATACTGAGTTATTTATCCTGCCACTCCTCAGGATTATTCTAATATGGCTTTTCCATCATGACCTTGCATGCTTTGGACTTTCCACAAGCTCTTGATTACACTGTGCAACTTCTCCTGCTGTAGAAGTTCTTCTGCACCTTGGCTAGTGGCCCTGTGTTGCTCTTGATCCAAAGGAGTTCATTGCCCAATGTTTCACATTACTTTTTTGTTTAAATGACATCATTACTAAAGCACTACTTAGAATTATTGCTCTCCAGACCTTCTTCATAACCTTTTTGCAATCATCTCTTCCAGCAAAGTCATACACTCATCGTCTTCCAAGGAAGGTGGCCTAATATGTTAGTGTCTTGTCTGAGATTGGAACACCACTTACTTGCCAGAAAGCTTCCTATAGCACCTTTGCTCTATCTTCATACTATAGCTGAAATAAAGGCCCTAGGATCTAGTTCAACAACTTTTCATTTTCTTAAGAACACTTGCTAACAACACATAAAAAAATTTCTGTGTTCTGGGCTTCCTCCATATGACATAAGGCTCATGGATTTCTGGATCTGTATTGAGAAGCCATTTAAAAACTTCTGTTTGATCATAAAACAAATCCAGTAACTACCTTTTTAGTAAAAACAGCCCCAGTTCACAGTTTCCAGACTCCATGATGGGTTCGTAGTGTTGCCATGGGCTTTGCTCAGGGTCCAGGAATTCAAGCAGACTCCACTTTCATTACAGCACCTGTAGCAGCTTCTGGAATGTGAATCTCAAATGGAACCACTTGATAATTGCTGGTCTGTGTGACACTGGAGGGAACAGCATGGAAGGACTCTTTATCTCTCTATCTTTCCAGCACCTTTCCATTTATTTACTCGCTGTCACACTGGCTGCCTTCCACGGTGGGAACTCTGCCTCCTCACACAGCACATGGAAAAGCCAGAAGCAAAAGCTAGCTGGGCAGTTAATTTGGAAGTGCTCTTAAAAACCTGGTAGAAGGCAGATTGGATCAGGTGCTGCTGCTCCCAAGGCAGGTCAGCGGGTCTTGAATCGTCCAGTCTGAGGAAGTCTCAGCAACCAGCACCACCACATTGGGGTGAGAGAATTGCTCCACCTCTGCCCTGGCTTAGCAGCTGAGAAGCAGGCTATGAAACCATACTGAGAAAGGGAAAACCAATAAGCTTTAGCAAAGGAACTACACGAAAC